CAAAGCCATTTTTCATGGGGGAAATTGGCATTCTGTGGAGAATCTCCTTCTAGGCCTTTTCCTAATCTAGGAGAGATTTGACTAAGAGTCTGACATCTTTTAAAGTCCTAAAAGAGACATTTACCATCTATTCTTTCTGAAGCCTGCTACTCAGAGGCTTCATCTGCATAATAAGAACCCTGGCTTCCACAACCCCCCTTATCTTAACTCAAGTATTTCTTTCTGACATCAACTCTTTGGGCAAAGCTTAACTCTTTCAACCAACGGCCAATCTGAACATCTTTGAATCGGCAGGGCAGGCGTCTCTCGCCCATGATCCCAGAACTTTAAGAGGTCGAGGCAGGTGGATCGTCTGAGCGTGAGCAACATGGTGAAAGCCCATCTCTCCAAGAAATACAAAAAATTAGCTGGGTGTGGTGGCCTATGCCAGTGGTCCCAGCTACTTGGGAGGCTGAGGTGGGAGGATCAGAGGATATTCTCAGTAAATACATCTGACAAAGAAATGGCTTGAGCCAGGTAGGCAGAGGTGGCAGTGGGCCAAGATGGCGCCACTGCACTCCAATGTGGGTGACAGAGACCCTGTTTCAAAAAAATATTTGGCCGGGCCCGGTGGCTCACGCCTGTAATCCCAGCACTTTGGGAGGCTGAGGCGGGCGGATTTCCTGAGCTCAGGAGTTCGAGACCAGCCTGGGCAACACGGTGAAACCCGGTCTCTACTAAAATAAAAGAAATCAGCCAGGCATGGCCGCGAGGGCCTGTAGTCTCAGCTACTCCGAGGCAGAGGTCGCAGTGAGCCGAGATCGCGCCACTGCACTCCAGCCTGGGTGGCACAGTGAGACTCCATTTCAAAAATTAAAAAATTTTTTAAAAAAAGAAAGAAAAAATAAAATATTTGAACACATCTATGACTCGTAAGCCCTCACCACCTTCTGGATGGCCGAACCAATGTATACCTTACATGTATTAGGTGTTTGCCTGTAACTTCTGTCTCCCTAAAATGTACAAAAAGAAGCTATAACCCAAACACCTTGGGCACATGTTCTCGGGACCTCTTGAGGCCGTGTCCTGGGCCAGTCACTCATATTTGGCTCAGAATAAGCTCTTCAATTATTTTAGGGTTTGGGTTTTTCTGTCAAGACAATGGAATAATTACTCAGAGGTGAAAAAGATGCAACCACAGGGATGAATCTCACAGAAAATATTGAGCAAAAGAAACTGGACATTAAAAGTACATATTGGGCTGGGTGTGGTGGCTCATGCCTGTAATCCCAGCCCTTTGGGAGGCCACGGCGGATCCACCTGAGGTTGGAAGTTCTAAACCAGCCTGGCCAACATAGCGAAACCCCATCTCTACTAAAAATACAAAAATTAGCCGGGCGTGGTGGCGCAGGCCTGTCGTCCCAGCTACTTGAGCGGCTGAGGCAGGAGAATAGCTTGAACCCGGGAGAAGGAGGCTGCAGTGAGCCGAGATCGTGCCGCTGTACTCCAGCCTGGGCGACAGGGTGAGACTCCATGTCACAAAAATTAAAATTAAAAAAAGTTACCTGTGTGATTCACTGCACAGCTATGGACAGCAAGAGTGCAGCTTCAGGTATGAGCAAGAGGGGAGGTCTTGGATCTGAGGTTGAACCTTGTGGAGCCTAATTACTTCGCCTTTCAAATAAGTCTCAGCCCCAAGAGTCCTGCGTGTCTTTTTTGTTTGTTTGTTTGTTTGTTTGTTTTTGAGACGGAGTTTCGCTCTTGTTACCCAGGCTGGAGTGCAATGGCACGATCTCGGCTCACCGCAACCTCCGCCTCCTGGGTTCAGGCAATTCTCCTGCCACAGCCTCCTGAGTAGCTGGGATTACAGGCACGCGCCACCATGCCCAGCTGATTTTTTGTGTTTTTAGTAGAGACGGGGTTTCACCATGTTGACCAGGATGGTCTCGATCTCTTGACCTCGTGATCCACCCGCCTCGGCCTCCCAAAGTGCTGGGATTACAGGCTTGAGCCACCGCGTCCGGCAAGTCCTGCGTGTCTTTAAGCAAGTCCCTGCCCCTTTCTGGGACTGAGCTTCTCCATCTGTAAACTGGATCCAGGGATCCCCAAGGCCTCTCCCTACATTTCTGCCTCTTTGGGAGAGGTGGCGTTTGACTCCTATCCCAAGCAAGGCTTCAAGGGACAATTCCTCCCCAGTAGCCTAGGCTGCGCACAGGGGTGGGTGTAAACACGGGTGGGTGCGCACTCCTAGTACCAATTGCCCCAGGTCTCCAGCTGCGTGAGAACTTATGCATGTCTTTCACTGCCTTAGATCTCTATTTGCTCATCTGTAAAACGGAGTCAAGCGTATCTATCGCTCAGGCTGTGGTACTACATCTCAGCGCAGTGTTCACTGAGCGCTTTCTGCACGCCAGGGCTTTGCGATACACAGGCCGTGCACACAGCAAGCGCTTAATAAATGGTGGCTGTCTTGGGAACGATTAGAATTTCCACACAGGTTGTTACGTCTTTTTTAGAACGGTCCTTGTGGTGGCCCCAAAGTTGCACGTGGGAGAAACGCAAGAGGGAAAAGCAGCTCGGCCCTGCAGCGGCCCGTGTTGTTTTGTTTGGGGCTGCGAGCCGAACGCGGCCCCTTTAAGAGCTGACTGGAATGTATCAAAACAAAAAGGCCGCGCGCCCACTGGCTGCGCGCCGCACGTGACCTCACAGCTGATTTCCTGGCCCCCCCCTCCTTTTTGTTGCTGCTGCCGCCGCCGAGTGTCAGTTTCGGCGCCGCCGCCTGCGGTCTCCCAGGCCCGAACCAGCCCGCCGCCCGCCGCCCGCGCCCGCGCCCGAGCCCCGCCGCGCGCCCGAGCCTCCCCGCGCGCCCAGGCCCCCGCCGGCGCCACCCGGGTCCCCGCGCCGCAGCCGCGCGCGCAGATGGCGCACTCGGCGGCCGCCGTGCCGCTGGGCGCGCTGGAGCAGGGCTGCCCCATCCGCGTGGAGCACGACCGCCGGCGCCGCCAGTTCACCGTCCGGCTCAACGGTAACGCTGCCCCGGCCCGCCCCCACCTTTTGTGTGCGAGCGAGCGGGGCCCGCCGGGGCCGCCCCCTAGCTGGGCGCCAGTTCCCTGCGCGCCCCCGGCCCGGCCCCGGCTAGCCTCCTGGGAGGGCTGTTGCGAGCGCGCGCTGCGGGGTGGTCCCGGGCGGCCGGAGCTCTGGGCGCGGGCCGGGTTGCGCTCGGGGCCAGGTGGGGGCGCGGCCGGCGCTCCGGGAACGGGAACGGGCTGGGCAGGGGCGGACTTCCCCTGAGAGCAGGGGCCAGGGCGGACGGGCCTCTGGAAAAGCAGAGGCAGGAGCTGGGGCAGCGCGGGTCCCCCGTCTCAGCCGCAGGGGACCCGCACCTGCTCAGGCCCAGTTGTTCACCGCTGTTGGGCACCCACTGAGAGCTGCTGTTTGATATCCTGGCAAGCTGTTCAGCCGTCACCTGTCCCCTTCCATGGGTGTCATATGGCTTCTTGCTGCCCCGGGACCCTTAGTCTTTCTATACTGGAGAGATTGGAAGAATCCTCCCTGCGGACTTGGGGCTGACCGCGAAAGGGGCTTTTGGCCCCGTGGCGGGTGGGGTGGGGGGCGAATGGCTCTCACTATCAGACTTCAGCGGCTCTGGGACTGGCCATTTGCGTCACTTCCGTGTGCCTCAGTTTCTCCCTCTCTGCAATGAGAATAGCACCAGTGCACATCCCACTGGTGAGTTGTAAGGATGAAACACTGTAAGAAATGTAAAGGATCAGACCGGCTCATGGGGCACTAGTAAGTGCTGGTAAATGTGGGCCGATCGTGATTCATGGAGCCAGAAAGCAAGGTCAAGTCCTCCTTTAGTGTAGAGAAGTTTGGACTAGCCCATCCCCCCAGGAGGTCAGACAGGTAGGAAATAGAACTACCAAAACGGGGACCTTTACCCACTGTGGCCCAGCCCGCCCCAGTGGGAATGTCCAAGCTGGACCGGCCCTTAGAGGCCACTGTGCCCGTTTTCAAGAAGGGAAGGTGGAAGGCCAGGAAAGGGAAGGACTTGCCAGAGGTCAGGCCGAGAGTTGGGGCAGAGCTGGGATGGCATCCTGACTGGTCTGACTCCCTGAACGGTGGGGCTCTTGCGACCGGCACGTGGCTTCAGCCAGGAGGGGCCTCTGCCAGATCTCTGATGCCATGTGGAAGGTACTGAGTGTCAAGCCAGGCCCCATTACAGCCTCGTGGATGGGGCTGTCACAATATCCTGACACTGTTGTGACACTCGCCCGATGTTATAGATGTGTAAGCCGAGGCTAGGGACCTCAGGAAGTGATTGCCCTGCATCAGCCAGAACTTCAGCGTTGGCCCAGCGGACCCTACACCACCAGGCAGAGGCTGCTACTGCTGTGGTGCCGGCGGGCTCAGCTGGCCGTGACACCCGGGCCCTGGCCACTCAGGGAGACAGCCTCATGGCTTTCAAATCCTCTTTTCTGAGGTTCCAGAGCAGCCTCTGGTTCCCTTGGGGACTCGGGAATCCCATCATTACGCTCAGGGACAGAAAGAAGAGAGGAAATGTTTGGGTTTTTGTTCTTTCGCTTCCAAGTGGGTACAGCCAAAGGACAGTCCTCCAGAGCTGGCAGTGGTCAGAGCTGGACATGCCCAGCCATGTTTCTAAACTTGCCCCCTTCTGGAACTTACTACCCAGATGGCTGACTACAGATGTGGCTGGGGATCCTCCCCAGCCAAGCCCAGGGTAGAAAGAAGAGGGAGGCCAGAGGCCCCCAAGGGAGAGGCTGTGCAGCACAGGGAGGGCCTCCTCTGGGCACCCTGGCCATACTGGGTTTGGGTGTGTGTCTTAGGGCCAGAGAGGGGTTGTCTGAGTCTGGGCCCGGGCCTCCCTGAGCCGGGGAGGGGAACAGGCTGCGGCATCATTCCTGACCTGTAAGGCAAGCCTGGAGGGTGGCACTGTTGTGCCCACTGAGAGATACGAACCCCGAGGCTAAGGGGTCAGGTAGTCCCGGGCTCCTGGTGCAAGAGTGTGCCTGGGCTGACCACGTGGCAGAGCTAGACTGATTCTCTTCCTGCGAACTCTGGTTCTGAGTGAGGGAAAACGTTTGAACAGCTTTGTTGATTAAGCACTTACAGTGTTCTAGGAGGTCCTGTGCACCCGGAGTCACTTTATTCTATAGCCACACAGTACACGGAGAGGGAAAACTGCATTGCCCATATACAGATGGGGAGACCGAGGCATGGGGAAGTAAAAGGACTTGCCCAAAGTCTTGCACCACAGAGGTGGAAATGCTGAGATTCACCCCATAAGTATTTCTTGAGTGCCTACATGTGCCAAGCCCTCCTTCAGGTGTTGGGGTCTTGTGGGCCTAACAGTTTAGAGAGGGAAATGGACAAGAAATAGAGTCAGTTTTAACATGTCCTAGAAAACAAGGACTCTCATGAAAGGTGCAGCGGCCAGAGGGGAGGCTGCGTGGGGGTGGGGCTGCTGTTTAGAATCGTGTGTTCAGGAAGGCTCCTCCCTGGAGGGTGGCATTTAAGTGAAGACCTGAAGGGGCAAGAGATGGCGTTACAACAGGGAAGAGTGTTCAAGTGGAGGGAACAGCAAGAGCAAAGGCTCTGCGGCGGCTGGTGTGTGCAGGGCAGGTAGGAGTCATGGGGGCAGGTGGTGCAGGGCCTGGAAGCCAGCGTCCTGTGGGCTTGGCTTTGACTCTGAGGCACCCAGGAGGTGCCTGGTGGAGGACAGAGGGGATGCGCCAGCTCCCTCTGGCGGCTCTAAGGGGAGCAAACTCGGGGGGCCAGGACAGAGTAGGGACCTGCTTTCCTAGTGCAGGAGGTGCAAACAGGCGTGGGCAAGCCATTGAGATCCTGAACAGATGTGGAAGGAAGCGTGGCTGTGACTTGCTGATGGGTGATGACAGACGGCTTGAGCTCAGGCTTGTCTGACTCCCCTTCCCAGTTCTGAAATGCAAGCTTGTCATCACTTTGTAGATGGGGAAACTAAGGCACACAGCCTGTAGGCAGCTAAGCCAGAATCAAGCCCCAGCCTCCATCTGAGGATGGTTTCCAAAGGTTGGAGGCAACTGGAAGAGACCGTCACCTTCCAGGCAGGGCTGAGTATCCCACTTGCTGCAAGGGAAGGGTCAGTTGAGGGTTGCGGAACCCTGGAACTTTCTGCATCCTCCCTAACCCCCATTTTGCAGACAGGCGGACTGAGGCCCCAGAAAGTCAGCTGCTGCCTCTGGCCTCGCTCAGCACCCTGGATGCAGTGGAGCTGAGACCGCAGCCCCGGGTCTTGTGGGGTGCTCAGATCACAGTCCCAGTATATGTGAAGCCCCTGGCTGTGTCGGGCTAGGCTGGACCAGGGTCCCGTGGGGAGGGGAAGGATCTATGGTTGAGCTTCTCCAGGCTTACAGTCACCTCTGCCTCACCCACCAGTGAGCCATCAACATGTGGCCCCTCCCTGATCCAGACCATGCTTATGGAGTGCCGGAAAAGCCGGCCAGGGTGTCTGCTTGTCCTTGTTCAGTGCCACGGCTCCGGGAGCCTGGGCTCTGCCTCTTGTCTGCCTCGGTTTCCCCATCTGTACATTGGCGTTTTGATCCGCCAGCTCTCCTTGAGGGGTTGGTGTGGGCTGAGTGGAGAAGGCAGAGGTCAGCACCTTCCGCAAACTCCACGTCTCCCAGGGGTCCTGTCTCTCTTCCTGACCTGCAAGCTTTGGTCTTTCTCCGTGATCGCCTCCGCTGACAACTTGCCAGGACCCCTTTGGTCCTGAGGTTGGGGAGGGGCAGAGAGAACATGGGGGTGCAGAGACCCAGGGATGGGTCCCCCACGAGCAGAGTAGCTTTAACTTTTCTCAGACCAGTCACAGTCCATGACATTGGTGGGGTTGTCAGGCCCAGGAGGGAAGAGGGTGGTGGGTGATCGTCCTGGGACAGGTGAGGTCTCTGGGGCAGAGAGGTGTCGGGACTGGCCTGAGATCATCTGGCAGGGTTACGACTGGAACTGAGGGTCCTGCCCTGCCCTTGGCTTGCTCCTGTGGCTCCCACGTGACAAGTACTGACCCCTGTGCTAGTCTGAGGTCTGGAGCTCTCGGCAGCTCTTAGAGCCTAGCCCGGAGGTGGGAGGCTGTGCCCGTGTCACTGTGAGCTGAGACAGCAGGATCCACGGTGCCCAGAAGCGAGAGCGTGGCTGACAGTGCTGCCCTGGTGTCCTGCTGCCCCATCATGTGGGCTGCGGGCAGCCAGGGGAGGCCTCTGGGCAGGTGATGTTTGGGCTCACTGGAATGAGGAGGAAGGGCCTCTGGAGGCCTTGGGCAGAAAGGTGGCGGGCAGGGGCACAGCCACCAAGGCAGAGAGGCCAGAGAGGCAGCTGGACCCCAGGCATGTTCGGAAAGCTGTGGCTACCACCCTGCCGAGGGTCAGGTCAGATGAGAAACGCAAGGCGAGAAGGAGCCGAGGACCTTGGCTCAAGCTTTGGGGACTTGGGCATTTCCTGGGATCTCCAGGCAGGTTTGGGGCAGGACGAGGGGTTGAGTGCAAGGACCGGGATTGCGTTTGTGGGACGTGTCATGGGTGTAGACACTTGTGACTGGGGGCCTTTGAGGCCCTCCAAGGTAGGGTTCAGGCCCTGGCCAGGTACTCTGAGGTTGCTACCCAGGAGCCTGGCTCCTCACCGGCACAGTGCTGTGTGATCTGGCCCATGTAGGGTGTCCCTTTAAACTCGGTCTTTTCCACACATGCAGCCCCGCCACCGTCCTGGCCACCCCAGACGCCCTCTGTTCCCCTTTCAGCCTGAAGAGTCTCCTTTGACTCAGCCCCATCCCCAGTCAACTCCACGCACCTCCGTGACTCTCATTCCAGGTGAGCCCAAACGTCAGCCTAAGGTGATCTTAAGCCAGTCCTGACACCTCTCTGCCCCAGAGACCTCACCTGTCCTGAGATGATCAGCACCACCCTCCTCCCTCCTGGGCCTCAGTTTCCCCATCTGCATACATGGAGCTGTGGGAATCCTACCTGTTTAATGGGATGGTCGTGAGGATCGCTGTGGAGAGAGCAGAGCACAAGCCTGCCCCGTGCTGGGGCTGCACACACTTGGGCCACCACCATTCCTGTCCTGCTATCTCCCGGGAGCCACGGCCCGAGGCGCAGGCCCAGCTGTGGGAAGGCCAGCATGCTGGTCCAGCCAGTTGTCCACAGGTCTGCCGCAGGGCCCCAGTGTGTGTCTGGCAGAGACAGAACAGCAATTGTTTTAGTTGGACAGATATTTCTTGGGTGTCTACCCGGAGCTGGGTACCTGGAATATGGTGGTGGCTGAGCTGTGTGACCACTGAGAGCCAACGGGAAGCAGAGAAGTTCTGAGGCCTCCCAGGGTCAGGCCCATCCATCGCCCAGGTGGCTACTCCAGAAACGCTGATTGGGGCCTGCACAGAGGAGCACTAATGAGCCTGCCAGGCTCCTTGTGTTCACCTCCCTGCTTGCCCAGGCTGGAGTGTAGTGGCATGATCTCAGCTCACTACAACCTCCGCCTCCTGGGTTCAAGCAATTCTCCTGCCTCGGCAACTTCTACCCCAGGGCCTTTGCACTTGCTCTTCTCGCCAGTGGACAGCTCATACCTCGTGTGTCCTATGGGGTCTCTGTATGCCCTCTTTACGGTGGCAGCCCTGCCCCTCCCCACACACCCCTTTTCTGATGTGTAATGATCCTTGGCATGTGTCAGCTTGTCACCTGTGTGCCCTCATTGATGTATGTATTTATTTAGAGACGGGGCCTGTCACCCAGGCTAGAGTGCAGTGATACAATCATGTCTCGCTGCAGCCTCGAACACCTGAGTTCAAGTGATCCTCCTGCCTCAGCCTCCCAAATAGCTGGGCCCACAGTTGTGTACCATGCTTGGGTAACTTTTTTTTTTTTTTTGGAGATGGAGTTTTGCTCTTATAGCCCAGGCTGGAGTGCAATGGTGTGGTCTTGGCTCACTGCAACCTCTGCCTCCCGGGTTCAGGTGATTCCCCTGCCTCAGCGTTTCAAGTAGCTGGGATTGCAAGCACCCACTACCACGCCCAGCTAATTTTTTTTTTTGAGACCGAGTTTCACTCATGTTACCCAGGCTGGAGTGCAATGGCGCGATCTCGGCTCACCGCAACCTCCGCCTCCTGGGTTCAGGCAATTCTCCTGCCTCAGCCTCCTGAGTAGCTGGGATTACAGGCACGCATCACCACGCCCAGCTAATTTTTTGTATTTTTAGTAGAGATGGGGTTTCACCATGTTGACCAGGATGGTCTCGATCTCTTGACCTCGTGATCCACCCGCCTCGGCCTCCCAAAGTGCTGGGATTACAGGCTTGAGCCACCGCACCCGGCCTAATTTTTGTATTTTTGTAGAGATGGGGTTTCACCATGTTGGCCAGGCTGGTATCGAACTCCTGACCTCAGGTGATCTACCCGCCTTGGCCTCCCAAAGTGCTAGGATTACAGGAGTGAGCCACCATGCCTGGCCAACATTTTAATTTTTATTTTTGTAGAGTCTGGGTCACCATGTTGCCCAGGGTGGTCTTGAGCCCTCGGGCTCATGCGATCCTCCTGCCTCTGCCTCCTAAAGTGCTGGGATTACAGGCACGAGCCACCGTGCCCAGCCCCTGTATTATTTATAATGATACTATTGTGTAATAAGTAGATAAGATGTCCATGCTGGGCTGGGCGCAGTGGCTCACGCCTGTAATCCCAGCACTTTCTGAGGCCTAGGCAGGTGGATCGTCTGAGGTTGGGAGTTCGAGGCCAGCCTGGCCAGCGTGGTGAAACCCTGTCTCTATTAAAAATAAAGAAAGTAGCCAGGCGTGGTGGTGGGCACCTATAATCCCAGCTACTCGGAAAGCTGAGGCAGGAGAATCACTTGAACCTGGGAGGTGGAGGTTGCAGTGAACTGAGATTGCACCACTGCACGCCAGCCTGGGCACAGAACCAGACTCCGTCTCAAAAAAAAAGATCTCCATGAGGAAGAGCGTCATGGGTTTTGTTCACTGCTGCCTGCCCTGCAGCCCAAACCCTACAGGGACATAGTAGGCCCTCAGTGAGCCTGGGGTAATTAAATGGCCAGGGTAGGTAGGCAGCTCTGTTGGTGACCAGGTCAGTCCCAGAATAACCTCCTGCCCTCTGTTGGCCTGTCCTGGATGAGTTGAATTAACCCCAGTAGGTGGGGAGCCAAGAACCACGCCCCTTGCTGTGCAGCCCGGACAGGCGGCAGTGGCCACAGCTGGGCCTTGGCCAGGGTGGCGGGCACAGCCCACAGAAGGACATTTAGACCCACAAGGAGGAGGCAACAGGGCCAAGGAGGGGGCGGGGGCTGCAGGCCTGAGCAGAGTGGGGCTGGGGAACCCTCAGCTGGGCCTGGCGGGAACGGGGAAAGGGCATCGGGCAGAGGGCGGTACCTAGGCGATGGAGGCACAGGATGTAGCAGGTGCGTCGCTGGAGCAGAAGGAGTGCTGTGACTTGGGGCCATCAGGCCTGAGCTCCAGCATCCTCTTGGCCTGTGTGTGACTTGGATCCCCGGCTCTCGTCGTTCCTCATCTGGAAACGGGGACATGAATTGTAGCCACTCTCCTCAGGCTTGGGGAGAATCAAAGGAGAAACTGAGGGGCAGAAAGCCCCCTTGCGGCTGTTGGCCCCGGTTCCCATGGCCCTGGACAAGTGGTTGGATCTCTTCCCGTCGTGCCACTCAGCACAGGCTTTAGGGCAGATCTCTGGGATTTTGAAGTTAAAACACATGAAACACGGTGTGCTTTTAAAGAGTGGAGAAAGATGGGTGGCGATGAGCGTCTTTCAGGGCCAGCGTGGTGAGTTTCCCACCTGGGGCCCTGTGCCCCAGCCGTGCCCCGCACACCTTCCCTACGGAGGCTTCTCCTCAGAGGGGCCTCCCTAACGGCCCCACCCAGCTTGTTCATTTCCTTCACACACTTGGAGCTCCCTGAAGCTGGAAACCCCAGTATAGTCGTAGACTCCCCTTTCCCTGCTTGACCACATCCGAGCCATCAGCAAATCCTGCTGGGTGCGCTTTGAAACCCCATCCAGTCAAAACCCCGCTCCACACAGCCCTGCTGCCCCGCCCTGGTCTGTGCCCCATCTTCACCCTCGGGGCTCCCTGCCTCCCCATCGGTTCTCCCCACGGTGGCAGCAGGATCCTGTGCAGTCATGAATCACATCCGTCCTTTTGCTGAAGGCCTTCTGGTGGCACCCAGCTAAGATGGCTTAGGAGGCTCTGTGGGACCTGCCCCATCACCTCCCTGCCGCATCGATCACCTCCGCCCTTCCCCTCACGGCTCCACTCCAGCTGCCCCTCATTCAGGCCCACTCCTGCCTCAGAGCCCTTGCACTGGTTTTGCCCTCTCCTTCTGTCTCCACCTGCCCCCATTCCCTGGCATCCTACACATCCACTTGCTTTTCATGTCTACTCCCTTTCTCCCTGTTACTTTCATGAGGACGGGACTCCTTGCCTGGCTTGTTCGTTGCTGCATTCCCAGCATCTGAAACAGTACCTGGGGCTCAGTAAATATTTGGTAGATGGATGGGTGGGCTGATGGATGGCTGGGTAAATGGGCAAAAAGATGAGACACTAAAAACTGTGGTTGGAAGAACTTGAGTTAATTGTTTGCCCAGCAGGAGTTTGGGGTGTGCTGGTGAGCTGCAGGCCTGGTGGAGTGTGAAGGCCCGTTTGCTGCTGCCTCCCGTGTCCAGTGTCCGTTTCTCATAGACCCTGTCAACAGGCCTCTGATCTTGCCCGCTGCGTCTCTGGCAGGGTCCGGCAGGTGATCCTGTGCGTGGCGCAGCGCTGCCTCTCTTGTCTCTGTGCTCTGCCTTCATTGCAGATTTGCTGAACCCTGTTCTGTGTCCAGTGCTGGGTCCTGGGACTCCCAGATCCAGGGCTGTGGTGGGGTGGGGATGCAGAGAGCCAGCGTACAGAGGGAGCGGCAGGGCCCTGGGGTGCTGGGACTGACACAGTAGCAAAGGTTCACGTGGGACTTGAGTGTTCTGGGCACTACTCTCAGTGTGTCACAGAGGTTAGCTCATTCAATCCTCTAAACCATCCTTTGAAGGACATTTTATTACAGCCCCACTTTATGGATGAGGAAACTGAGGCACCGAGAGGTTATTCAGGATTCAGCTGTAGCAGTTGAATGGCTCCAAATGCCTGTCTCTCCACCCCGGCCTCTGTGCCTGAGTCCGCTCGGATAGGAGTCTCCATAGGCTTACCTGTCTCTACAACCCCCAGGATGTCATGACCGGGCCGTCCTGCTCTATGAGTACGTGGGCAAGCGGATTGTGGACCTGCAGCACACCGAGGTCCCAGATGCCTACCGTGGGCGCGGCATTGCCAAGCACCTCGCCAAGGTAGGGCAGGCAGGCAGCAGGGCCAGGTGGGGGTGGGGACATGGGGGCCGCCACCCGCCGTGGGAGGAGATGGTGGCCCAGGTAGCCAGTCCAGCCTGTTCTTGGCGCTGGCTCCTCTCGTGGCTGGTGGCAGCCTTTCTGGGCGCAGGCTCCTCTTCCGCAAGCCTCAGACATGGCTGAGCCTCCAGGGTCCCCACACACCCCCTGTGTGGCAGGTGCTTCACAGGAACCTGATTCTGTTCTGGGGCCCCAGGCCTGGCCTGTAGTAAGTGCTCAGTCAGGCTTGTGGAACCGATGGATGGCTCCCACCCATTCTGGCCGCAACCCCTCATCCTCACTGCATCCCAAACCCCAGGCTGCCTGGAGAGCAGGTTTGGGCTTCACGAGGGGAGTTGCAGCCAGAGTGGAGAATGACCATCAGTCCCCTGAGGGCCGCTGCTGGGACGTAGCTGGGCCCTCTGCCGGCTTCCCCTCTTCCACCCCCACCCCGCCAGGAGAATTGCAAGCAACCTTTGCCCTCCGTGCTGCCTGGGGCACTGCTGCCTGGGGCACAGGGCTTGTGCCTCCCTGGGGAGAGGTAATGTGTTTTTTTCCTTGTGCACTGGGCCAGTCTGTGGGGATCATCCCAGATGAGGCTGAAACTCGAGAGTGACTGACCTGGGCAAAGGGGGAGGGCAGTCTGGGAGCCGGGGCCTGGGGAGGGAGCAGATGATGCCACCTCCCGGTGCCAGCTGTAGGCCCTGACCAATCTCCTCTCTGCCCCACTGCTCCCAGGCCGCCCTGGACTTTGTGGTGGAGGAGGACCTGAAGGCCCATCTCACCTGCTGGTACATCCAGAAGTACGTCAAGGAGAACCCCCTGCCGCAGTACCTGGAGCGCCTGCAGCCGTAACCCTGGCCCGCAGGCGGGAGCGCTCCCTGCCGGACCCTTCCACGCGGCCTTTGCCTGGCCCCGCGTGCTCTCAGGAACCTGCTCCCACTGGGAACAGACTCAGAGTTATTTTTGTAAGGACACTCATCTGTGGCCCACATCCAGATTTCTGGAGGCGGCTGATCAATGATGGGCAGTGACCCGGTCACCAAGGCGGAGAGGAGGCCGGGTGGTCCCCGCAGCTCCCACTTTGCAGAGACCAGCGGCTTCACGGGAGGCCTGCGGGGAGCACGTCGGGGCTAGGGCCAGCCTGCATCCCGCCCGCCTAGCTCCACTCGGAGATCAGGAGGCCCAAGGCAGGACTCCTGCTGCCACCTCTCCTGGGCCTGTGTTCTTTCTGGCAATTGCAAGGGTGTGCCCCAGAGTCAAGAGGAGCAATAAGAAACCTCGTGTGCCGGCTTCTGAGGGTGGCAATGCCAGACCCCGCCTGCCACCAGTACTGCCCTCTTCCCTTTCTCAGACCCCAGGCCCGGTGCAGGCAGGGCCCCGGAAAGGGGCGGCTCTCCCTGACAGAGACCAGGAGAGTAAAGGACTGAGCACTGGGCCAGGCTCAGTCGCACGTGCGATTCACACCTGTGAACACACACAAACGCATAGGATGCAGCCTGTGGGCGGGCCGGTGGCCTGTGCCGTGGTGTTTTCCCCTCCTTGGTACCCCCATATATTTTTTTGGCCTCTTGTGTGTAGGTTCTGCAGGATACCGAGGCCCTGTGCCCATGGGCTGCTGTCCCCTATATCCCTGTTGTCTGGAGCAGCTCCAGGAGGGCCTGAGCAGCTGCAGTCCCGCCCCTTGCTGGCCTTGGCCACCTGCCTGGGCCTTCTCTGAGGAGATGCCTTGGAGCTGGGGGTGGGAGAGAGGCGAACTGTTCTCCAGAAACCACCCTCAGCATCAAAGAGGAGGAAACATACCAGCTGCAGGGATTCCTGCGCGCCGCCAGTCGTCAGGTCCTTTTGTGGCTGCGCATAGCCGGGCACACTCACTGCCCATCCGGCCCAGGCTCCTCTCCCACCCAGCCTTCCTGGGTGCAGCCTGGGAGACATACCAGCACGCTTTGGTGGGACCAGCCCTTCTGGGGCACTCTTGCTTCCCCTGGGGCTGGCTCAGGTCCTGCCCTCTTGTGTCAGCTTTAACAAGGGTCACATTCATCCCTGTTCCTCTGTGGGGCTGGAGGGCCACCCTGTAGCCAGGGGCCCTTTAGGGCTGAGACATCTGTCAGTCAACACCACGTCCCTTGGGAGTGATGCATCCCCACCAGGCTTCTGGTGGTGTCAGGCTGGGCTCTGGGCAGTAAAGGGAGAGGTTGATCAGGACCCCAGGACCCTGATGCCTTCCTCCTCCCCCATTCAGGGGCGCTGGTTGCCATGGTGACTCCTCCCTTTGACTCCACGCGCAGGCGCAGGCTGCCCTGAGGTTGCGTTTTCCATTCACCTCCTTGCTGCCCCAGTCTCGGCGCTGAGACACCTCGCGTTCCTTCTCCAGCCATGGTAGCTCAGGCCTTCCTGCCAGGCCGCAGGACCTTGGAAATCTGCATGTGCTCCCTGCCGGTGGGGGTCCCCGAGCCCAAGTCTCCTTAAAACCCCTGCTGTGAGTCACAGCGAGGACCAGCAGGGGTCACCATCCTGAGCAGCCGCCCCATCCCTGCCCCTTGCCCTGTGGCACATGCTCCTGTCCTGGCCTCCAGGAAGTTTGCAAAGGGCTTGTGTGAGAGATCGGAGAAGGCCCTGGGCCTCCAGGGAGACACAGCTGGCAGGAGGCGGGCTCAGCTGCTCCCAGGCCCCTCCAAGGCTGGGGTGGCCCAATGCTGTATAGGAACAGGTCGTAGGCACAGAGGATGGGCAGCCAGGCCTGGGCCTTCCCTTTACTGTCCCAGGGCAGCTGGGTTGGGGGCCACCTTTCCCCCTCTAAGGTCACTCCCTCTCCCTCCGCACGTCCCTCCCCAAGTTCGAGTGCATACTCTATCATGACCATGGGGGCACTCACTGAGCTAGGGCTGTCCCTGTGGCCGCACAGGAGGCTCGGAGGGCAGCATGGATGTTGAGGACCAGGAGGGAATGGGCCTGGCCCACCCTGTTCCTGCTCCAACGGGATTCCTCCCCCGTGTTCAAGCAGGTGACTCCATCTGTCCAGCCACAACACACTTAACACTTGAACCGGGGGCCGTGTGCCTGGGAACCGAGGCTAGGGCTTTCTGAGGAGACCTGATCCGAGCTCCCACTGTTGTGACCTGGGCCTCCTCGCCTTGGGCTGCTTTAAAGCACTGCTGACTCACGCCGGGGGCCAGGCAGGGCTTCATGGGGCCTGGCCCAGGGTCTTCAGCAGAGCAATAACCACATCTCCCCAGGTTGGGTCTCCACAGACACCCTGCCCCGGAGCCCCCGGCCCATCCCGTCTGGTGCTACACTGCCTGGCAGCCCAGCCTCACCCCTCCCTGTCCTGGGTCACCTGGGAGTCCTTGGTGAGGATGCCGCCATGTGGGGCTGGTTTATGCAGCTGGGTGAGAGCCAGGGTGGGGCAGAGGATGCTCGGGGTCCCTGAGGTCTCCCACAGAGCTGCTCTCCTGCCCGCCTCACCCTGTGGGGTTCTCTTTCTTGCCAGGTCAACATAGGCAGTGACTTGTGCCTTCCCTCAGGCCCGTGGCAGGGTGTGGGCCCAGCTTGTTCCTGGACCGCCCCGTTCCTCACTGCAAGCTCCTCCACGGGTCTCAAAGGAACTTTTCCATAAGAGGTGTGGCCTGGTGTGCAGTGCTGTCCCCGCACTGTCCCTACCCCCAAAGCAACCTGTTGGTCAGCCCCGGCCTTAAATCGGTGGCGAGGGGGAGGCAGGCTTCCCTCCCTGGTGGTGTCTAGTGGTTTCTCAGTTGGTCCTCAGCACAGCCTTCAGTGTGGAGGGCGAGACCCTGAGTGGCACTGGGGCTTGGCTGAGGTCCTCCCGCAGGATAACGGGGACTTCAGGACCCCAGACCCCACACCGCAGTTCCCGACCACCTCCAGGTGTAAAACGCGCCCTGAGGCCACAGCCCAGCTCTGAAGCAGCATGGCTTTGTGGGGTTTCCTAGGAATGGGCAGTGATGCCACCTGGGAGATTTGCTGTGCCGTAAGAAGTGGCTCCCTTTGGGATTCCTGGTCCAGTGCAGGGAGCTGAGGCCCAGCCTCGTGCTGACACGTGCCCATTGGGGAAAGCTGTGGCCAATATTTCTAAAACAAGTGAAAATCTTGCACTGTGCCCAGGGCCACATCTCATTCTGCCCCAGCCCCCGAGGGAGGGAACAGCCCGATGGAGGACAGCTTCCCCTCGTTCCCACTCGGGGTTACGTGGCTGCCCAGAAGGAAAGAAATGGCCAGGCCTGTTGCAATCTTACTCCACTTCGTTTTCACAGCAGCCCTGAGACATGCCCATTATTAGGTCCATTGGACAGGTGGGACTGAGGCTTAGAGTCCGGGGTCACAGACCAAAGCCCATGCTGATCCAAAGGCCCAGGAACCAGCCCAGCTCCGGTCCTCTTGGTGGCGTGGAGCTTGTGTGATGAGTTCTCATGTCTGCCTGCGGTGATAGATGGCCTTGAAAGCAATAAACAAAACTTCCAGCAACTTTGCCACTCAGCTGCATGGCTGTGGTGGGTCCTGCCTCGAGCCATAAGGCGAGCAGCTAATCAGGAGTGCCGGGCTGGTGTGGAGAAGGCTGAATCACATGTGAAGCCCAGGTTGTAAGCAGGAATATTCGTGGAGCCCCTGACCATATACTCACGCCGCTCTTCCTCAGTTCAGGGTTCTTGGATTTGCTCAAGTCCACCCAAATATCCTTTTACGATTCTCAGGGTCCCACTCCTTCCAGATCAAATGCCCTAAATGTTATGTAAGAGTTCCGGCAAGGCTGTGAATTCAACCTGCATCGTAACTGCAACCTGCAGGGTCGGATTTAGGGTTTTTCGGTTGTATTGGTCTTAGAGCTACACGATATTAAAGAGATTTTTCTGGTTATCAAAGATGCTCTCTGGTTTTCTGTCCATGCCTCGAGCTGGGTTTGTCACTTCTGACTCCATTGTGGTCAGAAGCCACCAGCCTCTCCAGCTGTCCCCATGACATAATGAAGGGCTGCAGCCGTTTGGTCTCCCAGGCTTTGCCTTCGACAGACACTTCACCCCGGGCACTTAAATAGGTGATATTGTGAGGATTAGTTTTGCCGTTGAATGCTGTGATTTTCCAGGGTATCACGTCCCCTCTGCCAGTGAGGTCATGGCTGTGTTCCAGCCCAAGCCAGGCAGATAACCAATCCCGATTTCCAGCATTAAGGGTCTATTTCTAGGAAGTCATTCCCGCTACCAAGGACATTATCAGTCAGGGAAGAGTGGAACTGGTTATGAAAACTGTTGGCTGGCCGGGCACCGTGGCTCATGCCGGCAATCCCAGCACTTTGGGAGGCCGAGGCGGGTAGATCACAAGGTCAGTCAGGAGTTCGAGATCAGCCTGACCAACATGGCAAAACCCCATCTATACTAAAAATACAGAAAAAAATCAGCTGGGCATGATGGTGGGCATTTGTAAACGCAGCTACTGAGGAGGCTGAGGCAGGAAAATTGCTTGAACCCAGGAAGTGGAGGTCGCAGTGCGCTTAGATTGTGCCATTGCACTCCAGCTTGGACAACAGAGTGATATTCAATTTAAAAAAAAAAAAAAAGGCCAGGTGCGGTGGCTCATGCCTGTAATC